CAGACGCAGGAACAGTCACTTCACTTCAGAGGCTGAGGGAAGCCTCTGATTGTCCCTGTTAGCTGTCACGTTGAAGGAATCCCTTTATGCTCTGCAATTAGCTTCTGTATCTGTAAATCATCTAATTATGTTGAGCTGGATTCATTCTGCCTTTCCTTTTTTTTTTTTACTGCCAGAAACTGTCTGTTGCACAAAAGCCATTCAGGAGGCCTGCACTGTGGAAGAAATGGCTACGGCTAAGTCCCAGGGACTCCCAGAACCTCCCTGGGGTAGACATCGGTTACATCCTTCCAGCTACGATCCTGATGGGCGGTAAACGGCAATTCTGGGCATCACTGGGAAAAGCTGATTTCCTTGCTTGGGTCAGAGTTCTCTCTGCAGAGGTGTGTTCTCAGTCCCATCTGTCAGAGCATGGCTTGCAACTACCTGAGAAGCATAGGTTGGTCATGACTGTTCATGCTACCCTTTACCAAGAGTGTTTGTACTGCAGTGGGGACACCATCCAACACTCTGGGAAGAATATTAGAGGCATTGCAACACGTCCTGGGAGGATTGCTGGGGAGTGGGGGTGGACATCAGGAGCATCTATGCACCTCTCTGCTGCCTCTAAGGCTTTTTCTATTAGGTATCAGAACAGGATGTGGATGTAGATCAAAAAGAGAGGCTGCCAAGTAAAGCCTTTTTCTGAATTGTGGAATTACTACTGACTTTGTGTTTCTTCAAAGTGTATGTAATGTCTCCACCCAGGCTAACTAAAAGGTTGTTATGTGAATTATGAATTATAATACCGATGTCACTGTAGAAATCAGGCAGTGTGGTGGGAGAAACTACAGGGAAAGGGAGCAGGCCTGAAAGGTCAGAAGGCTCTGCAAAGCTCCAGGGGAGACTAGCTGAAGGCAGCTAGTCTGTAAACCTGAGGCAGCAGGCAAGGGTTAGGTACAAAGGAGTGTGGGGGAATTTTTCTTAAACAGGCTTGTTTACTTATGCTGACCAGGAGCTGATCTTTGATCATCCTTGTCCTTGACATCCTGGAAAGGGGGACAGTAAATGTTAATTACCCGTAGCCCGTGTTTGCTCCAGGCTTTTGGCATTATGCCTGTGCTGAATAAAAGCTCCAGCTTCTTGAGGCTGGACTTTAGCCGTTAGACCCCCTCTAATTCCATCTCCAACCTGGCCAATCAGCACTACCCACTTCCCAAGCCCCTAACTGCCAAATTGTCTTTAAAAACTCTCATCCCTGAATGCTCGGGGAGACTGACTTTAGTAAAATAAAACTCTGGTTTCCTGCACGCCTGGCTCTGCGCGAATTACTCTTTCTCCATTGCAATTCCCCCGTCCCTGTCTTGATAAATCGGTCTGTCCAGGCGGCAGGCAAGGTGAACCCGTTGGGCGGTTACAGTACCTTTCATAGATTTATAAAGACCTCCACCCTTTTTTTTTCTATCTTGGACTTTCCAATTTTTGATAAGCTATTTCATAACCCTAGGCAGTTGTCAGCTAAATAGCCTTAAATTTGCACATGTAAAGGAAACAACTCAGGTGAAAATCAAATAGCACAATTTACATCATAAAGCAGAGAGAGAAAAGTCTGGTGGTGCTAGAGGGAGACACTTTTATTTTTCTTTGAGCCAAATTAAACAGAAAATTAAACTACACTCTTTCTTAAAAACCCAAGAGTAGCCTCTGTTGCAATAACTATTTTAGTCACACACACGAAAAGTCAAGTGAAAACATAATTCAGTCAACTGAGAAGAAAAAGAAAAACTTTTGCTCCAAAAAAAGACAATGTCTTAGGAGAGAAAAACAAAAAACAAGACATGAAGACCTTTCAAATACAAACACCCACACACTCACACATACACACACACATCTTGGATATTAACCTTTCAATTAAGCTGACTTTTAACCACTGAGCTCCTTTAAAAGAATTTTTTTAATCTTATTACCCTATTTCAGCTAGGGCAAAATGCTGCTAAACTGACAATGATCACACAAATTATATGATTTCTGAGCGTTCTAAGTATAAGCAGAAATTAATACCAGCTTTTTGTTAATACTAACTTTAGTCATTTAAAAGGTATTTGCAAGACAGTATCCCAAACCAATTTCTTACCTAGTGATGGGTCTCAGGCTGCAGACTGTTCTCTACCATCCTAGAGTGGGGGGGCGGGGGCAAGCAGGGAAAAGCAAACTTCATCTTACCTGTTGGAAGCAAGCTCAAACTCCATAAAGGAATTATCTGCCTTTTATTGCCATGGAGGCAGGAAAACTTGCCCTCCTGTTGGAAGCAAGTCAAACTCCAAACAAAGGAGTTGTACAGCAAAATAAACTTTAGATCTCAACCTAATTTGGGGACATAAAGGATGCCCTGGAGGATCAAGCATTGCTCTCAGACCTCCGCAAATTGTCCTATTTGTTTCAGCCATAAAGTTAGCTCATGCTGGTACCAAGCACCAATAGATTTGTCAAAGGTCGGGGCATCTCCACTGAGAATCCCCCCCACCACCGTGGTTACCAAAATGCACACCCAAAATTTTGAGACAGGTCCCAGATAATTTAGAAAGTTTATTTTGCCCAGGTTGAGGACTAGCCTCCGACACAGCCTCAGGAAGTCCTGACAACGTGTGCCCAAAGTGCTCGGGGCACAGCTTGGTTTTATGCATTTTGGGGAGACATGAGACATCAATCAATATGTTAGAAGTACATTAGTTCTGTCCAGAAAGGTAGAGACAGCTCAAAGCAAGCCCCTACCCGCCAACTCTGGGCTTGCAGGTCACAGGTATGTGAGAGACAGATGATTATATTCTTTTCTTTCTTTTTCTGAGACGGAGTGTGGCCCTGTTGCCCAGGCTGGAATGCCGTGGCGCGATCTCAGCTCACTGCAACCTCCGTCTCCCAAGTTCAAACAATTCTCCTGCCTCAGCCTCCCAAGTAGCTGCCATTACAGGTATGTGCCACCACATCCAGCTAACATGTGGATTTTTAGTAGAGACGGGGTTTCGCCATGTTGGCAGGGCAGGTCTCCAACTCCTAACCTCAGACTATCCTCCCCGCCCCCGCCCCCCGGGCCTACCAGAGTGCTGGGATTATAGACGTGAGCCTCTGTGCCCTGGCCAGTTGCCTTTGTTTGAATTTATGATAAGTCTTTCCAAAAGAGGCAATCAGAATACAAATCTATCTCTGGGAGCAAAAAGATGAATAGAATAGGAGGCAGATTTGCCCTGAGCAGTTCCCAGCTTGAAGGGGCCAAAGATATTTTTCTTTCACAACCTTATCGAACCCACACCGGGTGTAACAACCTGGAAGGCCTCCCCAGGAGGCGGTCAGCACAGAGGCTAGGGAATGAGGCTTTCCAGGCTATTACACCAGGTTTTCCATTTACCAGCCGGGTGACCTTGGGCAGTTTATTTCAATTCTCTGCAACCCAGTGTTTTTCTTCTCTAACATGAGGCTAATATTGCCTGGTCAAAGAATCATAGTGTTGGTTCAATAAGACAGAAAGAAAGGGCCAGAAAAACAGGGATGGGATCCTGCAGCTAGCTCATTGAGGCAGTTCACAGGGGGGTGTTTGGGAGCAACTTGAAAGAGGCTGAGCCATATCTCACCCAAAAGCAGCGAGGAGACCTACGTTTCAGTTCTTACTTTTCTCTTGCCACAAGGTCACTGCTCCCAGGTCAGACATAGCTCAGCCTCTTCCAAGTTTCTCTTAAGCCCCTTAACCATTCCTCTCAAACTTCCTCTGTTAACTGCCTCAATAAGCTAGCTACAGGATCCCACCCGATGTCTTTCTGTCCCTTTCTTTCTGTCTCTCTGAATACATTTCTCTCTATCTCTACCTCTCTCCGTCTATTTCCACTTCTCTCTGTCTCTGTTCGTTTCTATCTCCCTGTTTCTCTGTGTCTCTCTACTATCTCTCTGCATGTCTCTGCCTCTGTTTCTGTTTGTCTCTGCCCATCTTTCTGGTTCTCTGTCTTTCTCTGGCAGGGGTGCAGTGGGAGTATATGGCAGGTGCATGTTTGGATGCAGAATGACATTCTGCCAGGGGGGGAGTGGCTGAGGGTCAATCTGCTCTGGGTGTGTCATGCTAAGTGCCTGCAGCATGGGGTTCTCATCAGACCAGCATGATGGTGTGGGGTGGATGCCATTCCTGGAAGCTGAGCCTCAAGCTGGGTTCTCTGGCAACGCCACCCCACCCCCCAACCCTCTGCCAACCCTGCCCATATCCTCCAAATAAACTCTTCCCTTCCTTGGTCAGCGAGAGCCAGCTTCTGCTGCTTGCAAGTAAGCCACTGAGACATCAGGAAAGCTGCTCACAGAATTACAATGAAAATCAGTGATAAATAAAATGTTTCTTAAATCTTTAGAATCAAGGAACACCTGAGGGATACTTGGAGAGTAGCTAACAGCACCCCAGTTGCAGCTCTGCAGGGTTGGCCCAGGCTGGACCCTCGGCCCTTGACCTCCAAGGGCCACACTAGGGGCTCAGTTTCTGAGGAGTGCCATTCAGAAACTTCCCAGGAACAGAGAAAGGAGAAAGTCTGGTCTGTCGAGGACAGTGTTCTGCATAAGGGGAGAGATGAGACGGTAACCTCGGCCAGAAGAAAGAACTTCATTAAAACCAGCTCTGCTTTTGCAAGGGAAGAGGGTGAAGTTTGAGGTTGTCTTGCAGGAAGACAATCAAACTAAAGAGACCAACACCAGCTTAGAGCCGGTTGGCCCCCTGCTCAGAGCTTCCCTGTGGCGTCTCCTCCATGGGCCCCAAAAGGAGGGATTCCAGCATGAGCTGCCTTTTCCAGAAGCCCCATCAGAACTGACTAACCTAGAAAAGCAAACAGGAGGAGCTGCACCGGGGCTCCAGGCTGAAAGCTAAATCCAGCGGCAGCCAGTTGGAGACAATGTGCCATGTGACTGCCGACTGCTCAGGGCAAATGACACCAGGGGTTGGCAATTAGAAGTTCACCCTGGACTGTGGCACCTCCCTTCAGCTCCGTCGATGAGGTTGTGCAATCCAACAGTCCTATAAATACAGCGTCACTCCAGCCTCTGGAAGCCTCTGTCAGCTCAACCTCCAAAGGAGCTGCGTCTCTATTCCTGAAATCCTGGGTCCCGCCTGCCAGTCGCCATGAGAACTTCCTACCTTCTGCTGTTTACTCTCTGCTTAGTTTTGTGTGACATGGCTTCAGGTAAGCTCCGGTACCTGCTAAAGTTTCCCATTCCCAGGGCTGGGGACACTGGGCTGATGTGAGCCTCAGATGGCTGCCTCCATGTCCCAAGGGACGAGGGACAAGCAGCAGGAGAGCATCCATGGTTGAGTGGCATGCAGTTGGCAGGAGGCAGCTGGCAAGGCCTGCCAAGCCTTGAGAGTCTGCGAGCAGCCAAGGAATGAGCCTGGCAGGGACACGGGGCTAGTCATAGGCAGCTGCCTGCATCCTTGTCCTGGACACAATGGCAGCATCCTATGTGGATGAGATGGCCTCTTCCCCTGCAAGATGGCTCCCCACACTGAGAGCCAGCTCCCTCAGACCAGGTCACTGGGTGCAGCCTCACCTGCTACAGGTGAGGCGCTGCCGCCCCACCCACCAGGCCAGCTCAGCCGGTGCCTTGGACTCACCTCGTGTGCAGGCAGGGAGGGTCCACAGGTGGCCCTCTCCCTCTCCTGAGAAATGCATCCATGTAGGAGGGGGCTTCCTATGAACCAGGTGGATGTCAGCTTCTCTGGGCCAAAGCAGCCATGACCTTGACGTAGGTGGGACACTGCAGGAGATTATAGGGGACATGTTTAATCCCAGCCTTCTCCCTCACTCACACAAGCCACGTGGTGCTAAGCCTTGATTTATTCAACTGCAGAATGAGGGGGCTGAGGCGGATGACTTCAAAAGCCCTCCAGTTTGGAAAGTCTCTGTAGTTTCCTATTGTAAGTTACTCTAGGCCATCACTTTAGCTAACAGACAAGCCTAATTTACTCCAATTATGCCTCAGTTTTTCCATCTGAAAACTGACATGCAGAGCTTTTCATGCTGCCAGTTGCTACCTTGGGTTCTTTTGGTTTCAGGTTTTTTGTTTGTTTTCTGAGACAGGGTCTTGCTCTGTCACCCAGGCTGGAATGCAGCGGTGTGACCTCGGCTCACTGCAGCCTCTGCCTCCTGAGCTCAAGCCGTCCCCCCACCTCAGCCTCTCAAGTAACTGCAACTACACGCCTGCGCCACCACACCTGGTGTGTGTGAATTCTTTCATTTTTATTTTTTGGTAGAGATGAGGTCTTACTATGTTGCCCAGGTTCTTCTCAAACTCCTGGGCTCAAGTGATCCCCCTACCTCAGCTTCTCAAAGAGCTGGGACTACAGGCATGAGCCATTGCACCCAGTCTACCATGGTTTTTTTTTTTTTCAAGAATAGAAAATATAACCATGCCATGTAGTAAAAGTAGATGCTATTTAATCATACCCATATTTCAATTTGGGGTGTGTGCATGTTTTCACTGAGTAACATTGAGAAATTTCTTTCTTACAGTGGTTCAGTCCAAAATCAAGAGTTTGAAAGCCACTTTGTTAACACTAAGAAGTTTTATTTTCAGTCTGTTATATCCAAAGGGAATTATGAGAAGCTATTCTCGAGCCTTCCCACTCACAACTCCCTGCTTCCGCCGCTTGACTTTTATGGTGATAACTTTCCATGTCCTTTATGCTTTTATCACACTAATATTCAAGTTGAATAGTATAGCTTTGTTTGTGCACACATTTCTATTAGCCAGTAGGTGCCCATATGCTTCTGTTTCTACATGCTGAAAAGCTGCATTACTGGATCATAGGCTATGCATATATTCGGTTGTTTTAGACGATACCAAACTGTTTTCCAAAATTGTTTACAGCGATTTGCACTCCCACAAGCAGTGAATAAGAGTTCCTCTTGCTCCGTATCCTTGCCAACATTCGATAGCATCAATCATTTTTAAATTTTAGCCACTTGGTGAGTGTAGCAATAGCTCATTGTAGTTTTAATTTGCATTTCCCTGTTAAATAATAAGTTGGGCCCTTTTATATATAGTTACTGGCAACTGGGATATTTTTTGTAAAATGCCTGTTTGTCTTTTGCCCATGTTTTCTATCCGATTACCTGTCTTTTCTTATTTATTTTTAGTTCTTTATGTATTGTCAGCTATATACATTACAAATGTCTTCTCTTGCTTTGTATCTTGACTTTTCACTCCCCTAAAGGAAACTTTCCTTGAATGGACGCTTTGATCATCATTTCAACGTAGTTGAATGTGTCATGCCTTTTTCCCTAAGGTTACTGCTGTTTGTACCTTGTTTAGGAAGACTTTCTTTATACCAAAGACATGAAGATAGTCTCCAATATTGTCTTCTAAAAGCTTATCCTTTTTTTTTTTTTTTTTAATACATTTAGGCTTATAATCCATCTGGCAATGGTGTGTGTCTGTGTGTGTGTGTCTGATGTGAAGGGTGAAGTTTTTATTTTCCCAGTATGGATATCTGATTGTTCAGAGCCAACTATTTTTTTTTGAGACTGAGTCTCACTTTGTTGCCCAGGCTGTAGTGCAGTGGCACGATCTTGGCTAACCACAACCTCTGCCTCCCAGGTTCAAGCAATTCTCCTGCCTCAGCCTCCTGAGTAGCTGGGATTATAGACGCCCACCAACATACCTGGCTAATTTTTGTATTTTTAATAGAGACAGGGTTTCACCATGTTGGCTAGCCTGGTCTCAAACACCTGACCTCAAGTTGTCCACCCACCAAAGTGCTGGGATTATAGCCATGAGCCACCATGCTCAGCCCAGAACCAGCTGTTGCTAACACTATTTTTCCCCACTGTTCTGCTGAGCCACCACTATTCCACATCAATTCTCCATGGATGTGTGAGCCTCTTTCTTTTTCTTTTTTTGAGATGGAGTCACACACTGTCACCCAGGCTGGAGTGCAGTGGCACGATCCCAGTACATGAGCCTCTTTCTACACTCTGTCTGATTCCATTTGGACATGTGTCTCTCCTTGTGCCATGAGCACACTGCCTTAATTACAGTGGCTCTACAATTAGTCTTGAAATCCAGTGAAGCAAATCTGCCACCTTTTTTCCAAATGTGTCTTGGCTATTCTTGGCCATTTGAATTTACAAATAAAATTTAGTGTCCACTTGTCAGATTAGAACCTCTTCCCATGGCATTGGGTTGAACCAGAAGATTAATTAAAGAAAAAATAATCTTCAAGTACTTAAACAGAGCATTTCCACTCATTTAGGTCTTCTTTATTTCAAAATGTCTTATGCCTTATGGATAGAAGTAGTGCACACATTTCCTTAGATTTTAACTAGGCATTTGTTACTTGACGCTCTTTGACATGGTATGCTACTTTCACATCATTTTGGCTATTGGTTGCAAATACACAGATGTAAAATGGATTTTTTTTCTTTTGTATTTGCTCTCATATACAGCAAACTTGCTAATCCGGCTTAATTCCTTTTGAACTGTCTATGTATAATCATAATGTCTGCAAATAGTGATAATTTCATCTCTTCCTTTCCAACTCATATCATTTGCTTATGTTTTTCTTATCCTGTTCCACTGGCTAGTATATGAAATTCAATGTTAAATGGAAATGGTAATAGCCATTATTCTGGCCCTATTGCCAACCTCAAAGGCAAGGCTTTTATTTTTTATCATTGAGAATACTATTTTTTTTCAGGTTTTATAGTACTCTTTATTGATTAAGTAAATTACTCTAGTTACAAGGTTTAAGAATTTTTATGTTAAAGTAATTTTGAATTTTTCAAATGTTTCTTCTGCATTTATTGATCATACGCTTTTTTATTGTTAATAGCCTTGACTAACTTTCAAATGTTAAATGATACCTTGTATTTGTGAAATAAACTGAACTTGATTTTATTCTATTTGCTGATTTTTTATTTTATTTTATTTTTTTATTTTATTTTATTTTTTTATTTTATTTTTTTTTTTTTGAGACAGAGTTTCACTCTTGTTACCCAGGCTGGAGTGCAATGGCACGATCTCGGCTCACCGCAACCTCCGCCTCCCGGGTTCAGGCAATTCTCCTGCCTCAGCCTCCCAAGCAGCTGGGACTACAGGCACGTGCCACCATGCCCAGCTAATTTTTTGTATTTTTAGTAGAGACGGGGTTTCACCATGTTGACCAGGATGGTCTCCATCTCTTGACCTCGTGATCCACCCGCCTCGGCCTCCCAAAGTGCTGGGATTACAGGCTTGAGCCACTGCGCCCGGCCTATTTGCTGATTTTTTAAAGTATTTTTGTCTTTCTGTTGATTAAAGAGATTGACTTGCAATTTTTCTGTTCCTTTTTTTTAATTTCTGATTTTGTTAGATATGGTATTAAGACTATGTTGGCGTCCATAGATAAGTATTCTCCCTTTTTCTCTTCTGAGAAACAGTATGTGTTGTGCAGACCCTATATCTTATTTACTGCCCAGTTGAAGTTGCTGATGAAGCCATCTTGGCCTAGACTTTTATTTATGGACTCAATACCTTTGACAGTTATGGGACTATTCAGATTTTCTAATTCTTATTGTGTTTATTTTAGCAAGTTGTATTTTCTAGGAATGTTTCTATTTGACTAAATTTTCAGGTTTTCATAAATTCATAACTTTTTTTTGTTAGTAGGATGTGACATTCCTGCTTTTGTTTCTGTCTTTCTCTCAAATCTTGACCTAGTAATTCTTTATTGTTGATTCTCTGATACCTACAAAGTGGACGTGTGTGTGTGTCTGTGTGTGTGTGTGTGTGAGATATTCTAGCTGTTTTTTTTGGGCTGCCACTATTACTGGAAAACATAAACCTTCAGAAGCATTTAGATTACACAAACATCTCTTAAGAAGCATGTAAGAGAAACAGACGTGCACAGTGAAATTTAACACAAGGAGGAAGGCAAATGTCATGAAAATGGTCAAGGCAAGTGCTTTTAAAAGGCTCCTAGACTGAAAGCAGCATAGACTGCTCCAGCAGGAAGGTACCTCAACATTCCAGACCAAAGGTTCTGAAAGTATGGACTCTGGACCAGAAGCTTCAGTGTAACCTGGGAGCTTGTTTTAAAACACAAATTATCAGCCCCAACCCAGACCCACTCAGATGCTGAGACTTGGAATATGATCTTGTCACCCAGGTGATGAGCATAGTACTCAACAGTTAGTTCCAACCCTCACCCCCCTCCCTCCCTTCCCCTCTACTAGCCCCGAGTGTCTATTGTTCCCATCTTCATGTCCATGAGTATTCAGTGTTTAGCTCCCACTTATAACTGAGAACATGTGGTATTTGGCTTTCTTTTCCTGTGTTAATTTGCTTAGGATATTGGCCTCCAGCGGCATTCTTCTTGCTGCAAAAGACATACTTTCATTCTTTTTTACAGCTACATAATCTCCTCCATTTTAAATTAGAGAAGCTGGGGCCTAGAGAGGTTGAGTGGTTTGCCAAAGATCACACAGTAGTTTAGTTTTAGAACACAGAATGTAACCAAAGTACCCTGACACCAACTTCGCTGCAATTTCTCTGTGTCCCGTAATGTACTAGATCCTGGAAGATAATGCCAGAAATTAGTTCTGGTTCTGCATCATGACACCGTAGTCAGCTAGCAGTGTCGTAAAGCAGAATGAGAACTGAAGTGAGGTCAGGAGGCATCCATTCTGGTAGGGGGTTGGTCTTTGACCAGCTACATGCTCTGGGGGCATCATTGGACCTTGGTTCCTTCACCTGGGGAGAGGATCACAGAGAGATTGAACTAATTGAGCTCTGAAGTCCATCTTGGCTCTAAAAAGCTACACCCAAATATTAAATTTGGGCCTGCTCACTTACTCAGCATGTACATGTACCCAACAATTTGATTATTTAGAAGAACAATCAAGAACAAGGATGTGCAGACCTTCACAATTTCAAAGTGCTTTCAAATTTGTAAGCTCAACTGATCTCTCTAATAAGAGATAATCACTTGGAGAGGTTCCATCTTGCAGGTCAGGTTGGAGTAGGCATCCTCTAAGTATCTCCTGAGCACTGAGAGCCTCCAGTACAGACAGACTAGAGCGGAAAATGGAGACTTTGGGGGAGGCTGGTTGGTCATGATCTTACTTGAGGTCAACATTGTGGCGTGGTTATTAAAACACAGTACAATCTCAGACAGCATCATCAGGAATCAATGAGAGAAACAGAATACAAGCTGACAATCAAGAGACTGTGTTTTGTGTGAAGAAATGAGTGGCTTCACCCCAAGATGCCTCCCTGAGTCATGGGATGGTAGAATGAGAGTGTCTCTCGATTCTCTTCCAACTCCACAGCAACACAGTTCAATAGAATGTTCTGTGGTGGTGAAAAGAGTCTATATCTGCTCTGTTCGATGAATGCAGCACTCACTGGCCACATATGGCTTGTGGGCGCCTGCAGTGTGGCGAGGGGGATTTCAATTAATTTAAATGAGAACAGCTGCAGGAAGCGAGGGGCTGCCATATTGGATGGTGCAGCTTTGTAGCGAAGAAAATGAGAGAAATTGAGCCTTTTGTGACCTTGGTTGGTGGGACACATTTAAGGGACTCTGTATCGATACCAGGCTTCAAATGTTGGAAACTCTATTGGCCAATTTAAACACATCCACAGGAGAATAAAAAGGTTTGGGAAGGGCCTGGAAACCAGGCATTGAGGACAGTGAGGAAAGAAGAGTGTTTTTTTTTTTTTTTTTTTTTTTTTTTTGAGGCAGAGTAATTTTGCTCTTGTTATCCAGGCTGGTGTGCAATGGCACGATCTTGGCTCACCAAAACCTCCGCTCCGCCTCCCAGATTACAGCGATTCTCCTGCCTCAGCCTCCCTAGCACCTGGGATTACAGACATGTGTCACCACTCCCAGCTAATTTTATATTTTTAGTAGAGACCGGGTTTCTCCATGTTGGTCAGGCTGGTCTCGAACTCCCAACCTCCGATGATCCACCCGCCTCGGCCTCCCAAAGTGCTGGGATTACAGGTGTGAGCTACTGCACCCAGCCAGAAGAGTTTTTCAAAAGAGGAATTACTGCAAATAGCAGAAAAACGGCTGCAGGATGGAAGTTACTGACAGGACAATTTCCATCAGTGTGAAAGCCATCTTTCCAACAGAGATCTGTGACATTAGAATGTACTGTCTCCTAGGGTGGTGATGGCCTTTGCATTAGTTTGCTCAGGCTACGTTTATGGTTTAAACTGCCCATAAACAGACTGGGTGGTTTAAACAACAGAACTGTACTTCCTCAGAGTCCTGGAGGCTGGAAGTCTGAGATCAAGGTGCCGGCAAGGCTGGCCTCTCTCAGGTCTCTCTCCTTGGCCAGTAAACGGCCGCCTCCTCCCTGTGTCCTCACATGGTCTTTCCTCTGTGCATCTCTGTCCCAGTCTCTTATTCTGCAAGTCATACGGATCAGAGCACATCCCGATGACCACGTTTAACTTGAATCACCTCTTTAGAGTTTCTCTCTCCAAATACAACCACTTTCTGAGGCACTGGTTAGGACGTCAAAACGAATTTTTTTCCGAGGGGATATATTTCAGTCCAAAACACCTACCAGTGGAGGCATGCGAAACGATGGCCTGATGGTCCCTGGCCAGGAATATCACAGGCGACTGCTTCCTGTGTCATGGAGTAGAAGCCTAGTCCAGAGTACCGTCTCTATTTATGAGATCTGGGAGACTGGGAGAAGGATAAAATCAATTCCAAGTAGAAAAAAAACTATGAAAGCTTTAGAGAGTAACCACAATTTCAGCCTGACATGAAAGGATCCTAGAATTCAGCTGAAATAGTGATGTGGGAAGTGGGGAGCCGGAATTCAAGGCAGAGGGAACAGTGTAACTGAAGGCGTGGCGGGAGGGAAGTGTAGGCTGTGTTTGCAGAGTGGCACCTGCTTCCACATTTCTAAAACACAGCATGTGAGTTTGAGCATGGTGAGACAACGCAGAAAACTTATTTGGAAAATAACCTGAATTCCCTGCACTCCTCAAATATCTCAGCATAAGAAAACCCCACTTGGAACCCCACTGTTCATCCTTGGCTTGTATTTGACTACAGCTGGCATAGCCCTGGACTGAGTAAGCTCTTCAGTCACCTCATTTCATGAGCAGCCCCAAAGATCAATCACGTGCAAATTTCTTGGAAGAGAAAACTCTCTAGTGTTTTGCAGTTATTTGTCCTGGTCTCACGAGATGTTCTCAAATCGTTGCAGCTACAAGCCATGAGTCTGAAGTGTCTGTGTTCCCTCCTTACAGGTGACACCTTTCTCACAAGTCTTGGCCGCAGATCTGACCATTACAATTGTGTCAAGGGTGGAGGGCAATGTCTCTATTCCCCCTGCCCAATCTATACCAGAGTTCAAGGCACCTGTTACGGTGGGAAGGCCAAGTGCTGCAAGTGAGCTGGGACTGACCAGAGGAAAGGACGCAGAAGCCAAATGAACTATTTATAATCATTCTTTTAATAAAGGAAAATTGTTTTTCAAGTATACCTCCTTTGGCCAAAATGAATCTTGTGTCTCAATTGGAAGAGGTCAAGGAGTAGGGGGTTAGGGTGCATGGGCTGGAACATGAGATGGGTCGGACCACAAAGCTTGCCTGGAAGAGGGCAGTGATGGCCCAGTCTTGAGTGATGTCACCTCCACTTTGATCCCCAGACCAACACATGACTGAGTCTTTTTTTTTTTTTTTTTTTGAGATGGAGTTTCACTCTTGTGGCCCAAACTGGAGTGCAGTGAGGTGATCTCAGCTTATTGCAACCTCCACCTCTCAGGTTTAAGCGATTCTCCTGCCTCAGCCTTCCAAGTAGCTGGGATTACAGGCACCTGCCACCACACCCCGTTAATTTTCAGGTTTTGTTTTTGTTTTTAGTAGAGATAGGGTTTCACCATGTTGGCCATGCTAGTATTGAACGCCTGACCTCAGGTGACCCATCCCTCTCAGCCTCCCAAAGTATTGGGATTACAGGTGTGGGCCACCACACCCAGCCCCAACATGTGACTCATTCTGAGAGTCCACATAATTCAGAGGTCTTAGCAGTCTCCTCCATGAAGCAGTCCATCGGCAAAACCCAGAACTTCCATTTTTTCTCCTTTCTGGTCTTAGGAAAGTATGTTGGTTAACCTTAGCATTTGAGAATCTCCATAATGACCATAAAGATATTTCACTTAAGTGTTGCCCTCTAGGCCTCATGTCTGGGTTCCCAGATCACAATTCCTGAATCTACTGCAATGACATAACCTAGTAACATATCATTCACAAAAGCATGTGTATAAGCCAGCTACATCTGCATTTCATTCCTTCCAAGCAATTAGGCCTGCAGACTCCATGTGGGTGGAGGAAAATGGGCTACCATCCTTTTTTTTTCTTCAATAAATCTCTTACAATTCCTGATGATGTATACTGTGATATTATCTCCCAAATCTGGCAACAGCAACTGTATCTTCCTCTTCCACTGTTGTAAAGCTTTTCTAACCAGCCTCCAATCATAGATTCAGACACAACACCCCTTTCTGCAAGGAAAATGTGGGGAGAAGAAAATCCTGGCTTATGGGGTGAACATTCATCTCTACTCAGGTATTCTTGTAACCACACACAACTTGTGGTTTTCATCATGGTGCATCCAGCCTCTTCCTTCCTCTGAACAGCTGAGGAATAATCCAGGACCCTTCTGCCTTGAGAAGAAATCTCAGGCATGTGATCGACTTCCACCGCAAGATATTTGAGTCCTCCCAGGTAGCATTTCTCTGGACAATAAGTTAATTAAAGGCAAATTCCCCATGAACCTTAGTACAGCCAGGGTTTGGGAAATCAGGTTCCTCAAGACCTAATTCTTAAGGTAGAAAAATAACTAAATAAAAACCACATGTTCGCTCCCCATTCTTCAGTCTACAAGGCTGTGGCAATTTGGCCTCCCCTGCCTAGAGCCCTTCATGCGACCAGAAGCACATTTTTATGGATCCCCAGGCATGTGACGGAGCTACTGACTAATTCAGAAGGAAGATGGTAAGTCACCGAGAGCATTGTCACCAGAAACAGCAAACTCATGGCCAGAATGAACAACATGAGTCTTCTAGTCTCTCCTAACCCAACAGCATTTGCAGACAACTTCTTCTGAGACACAGCTCTTGGCCTGTTTACTGGGCCTTAATGAGAGTGAATACTTGACCACAGGCCACCAAGTTAGCATGAAACTTGAGCTGCCCATCATGAACTGGGTGTTATCGACCGGCCAGGTCACAAAATTGAGCATGCACAGCCTTGCTCCATCGTCAAATGGAAGTGGCATATGCATCACTGGGTCTGGGCAGACCCTGAAGGTACAAGTAAGTTACATGGTTCTATGGAGAAGTGGCCCAAATGCCCATGCTTCCTACATCCGCCACACCCTTCTCTCTCTGAGCCTGTGCCTACGGCCTCATGGTGAGTTCCCTATGATGATTTGACAGAGGCAGAGAAAATCTGCACCTGGTTTACAATGGTTCTGCACAACATGCTGGGTAGACAGCTGCAGCACTGAGCCCCTTCCTGGGTCATCCCGGAAGGACTTTCCCTGAAGCGGGGAAGGAAAATCCTCTCGGTGGGCAGAACTTCACACAGTGCACGCGGCTGTGCACTTTGCTTAGAAAAAGAAATGACCAGGTGTGTGATTATATATTCATTTGTAGGCTGTCGCCAATGGCTAGGCTGGGTGGTTACGGGCTCGCAAGAAATAGGACTGGAAAATTCACAACAGGCTTCTCTGAATGGACAAAAATCAGGAAGATACCTGTGTCCTGTGTGATTGTCCATTAAATGATGACCTCAGCAGAGGAGGGTTTTAACATTTGAGAGGGTAGAATAGCCCATTCCATGAAGGTCAGTTGGCCCCTTTCCTCCGCCACCTGTCTCATCATGCAGTGGGTTTATGAATGAAGTGGTGACGGTGGCAGGAATGAAGCTTAGGCAGGAGTGACCTGGTGACCTGACTACAGCTTCTGTCAGGTCCAATCTGCCAGCAGCACAGACCAACACTGACACGTAAAAGCCTCTGGAAAACATCTCAACGACAAGATTGTGGTGCAAATATAATATTATTTTTCACTTTTCAAACTTTAGAATCGACTATAGGCAATGCACAGGAAATTCTTTTTATACTTATGATTATAATATAATCATTATGGATCTGGCAATATCAAAGCACAACTGATAGCAGTTGAGACGTAGCAAAGAAGAGACGAAGGAAGGGGTAAGGTGTAAGGTCTTGTCATACATAGTGCGTGGTGGGGGACATTTTCTAAAAATATTACATAAGAAATTAAAGGCATAAATGAAACCAACTAAAGAAAAGCAGCTAAAGTAATAACGTACCTATCAAAATTTGGAAGTAAGACAGAGAGGGGGTTGGGTAGTGTTTTTTTTTTTGTTACTAATCTTTTATAATCCCTAGAAACATCATGGTTTGGGCTCATAAGAAGTTGTCAGACAGACACACAACAGAGACCACACATAAATAGGCCACAGCTGCCACAAGGAGGAGGCTTGCCTTTTGTACAAAGTTTATATATATATACACACACACACACACATACACACACACACGTATTTATGTACACAGACACAAGGGGATAAAATCCAGTGAGAGGGGCTCACACACGCCCAGGTGGGAAATGGGAGCAGCTTTAGCTGCCAGGGTTGAGGCCACAGTAGAGGCACACAGGAAGTGGTAGAGAGCAGCAGCCTCCCTCCATCCTCCCACCCTGGGCCAAAGGGAGGACGTGGGAGGAAGGACAAGTATTCAAAGGAAGATAGAAGACACTGGAAAGGTACACTCCACCTCTTACTAAATTCCTGAAAGCCCCTAAATGCCTGGCAGGATAGATCACTCCCATGCCTCCTAGCAAGATGCTGAGTCTACAGTAGGTCTGGCCTCAAGCTGCATCAAGCTGAGGTCTGAGGTTGGCTTCTCAATGCACGAATCCATGCTATCTTCCAGGGCCCTAATAGCAGAAAAAGAGCACCTTCAAGGCTCACCCCACAAACTCAGTTCTCTTGATTCACAGGTCCTAAGGGTCTTCCTTGACAGAAAGAAGGATGAAGGTACAGGAAAAGGAGAGAGGTCAGTGCCTTCAGTTAATGCCCTACGGCCTTCCCAATGGGGGAGGAATTGAGGAATCATTAAGGTGTAGGAAAGGGCAAGAAGGTCATCTCAGAGACAATACACAAGGAGAAACAGGTACTCAATGCAGGTGTAGACTCTGCTTTCTTCAACTGAGCGCTTTGCTCAGCAGAGTCCGTTTCCAGTGGGGCCATGAGCAGGAGCTCTTCTTGGTGTCTTAAGGGTGGTCCCAATTCCCTCAGAGACAATGTCCATGCCCTCAGGATGGCTTGGTCCACAAAATGGAGAGATGGGGCCATGGAAGAGTAGATGTGAAGTAGCAGGACCCAGAGGTACAGGGAGGCAGTCCACCGTGCCACCAATTTACATGGTCTGGGGGGTAAAGAGGCTGGAGAGCTGGAAGCACTGGGAGGCAAGGTTCAGGGCTGGACTCAGAGCAATCAGAGCTGCTGGGTTCAGGCGCCCACGGGAACTGCTCCATTCAGTTGCGAGGCAGCAGCTTGGGTGGCGGCAGCAGCGTGGGTGGTGGCAGCAGCAGCGGCAGCAGCAGTGGCAGTTGGCAGTTGGATTCCACAGCCTTCTGCCAGTTTGGCCATAAGCTGCAAACCTGCTGATCCCAGATCCAGCTCCTGGTCCCCATGAGGGAAAGTGATGTCTGTGCCACCATCCAGTCGCTCAGTCACATGGCCAACCCTCATAGGTCGACCAGCAAGTTCAAAGCCATTCAACTGTTGCAGGGCCCGCCGGACACACTCAGAGTCAGAGAACGTGATGAAACCATAACCTTTAGAGCAGCCTGTATCTGAGTCTTTCATCAGGACAATATTATCAATTTTACCAAAGGACTCAAAGATGCCTGGGAGCATGTCTTCAGTGATACTGAAGTGCAGGGAACCCACGTAGAGGCGTACTGGTCCACCAGTGCCCTTTTGCAGGTTGTTGGCCATGGTTGCCAGTCGGTTTTCCTCTGCCTGTGAAGCCTGTACCATGATAGGCACTCCCAGCAACCGTTGCTCAGTTAGCCCAATGGCCAGTGGCACAGCCTGGATTTCACAGAATTCCACATAGGCAATGCCCTTAGGAGGGCATGAGTTCCGATCTGAGACGACACGTACATCACGAACCTGGCCTACAGCAGAGAAAAAGTCCTCCAGGTCTGGAGGCCTCATGCGGGCGGCTAATTGCGTACAGAAAACTGTGCGGGCATCACGCTCCTCAGGACTCGGGTTATCAGTTGGCGCCCTGACTGGGCTCTTCTCTCTGAAGTGAGGACTCTTACTGTGTCCACACCTATGGCCAGTGGCAAGTGGAGGACTCCTGTAGCACACACGATCCTCACGGCGACGGTCGCGACTTCGCGGCTCACTATGTCGACGACCCCAGCTACGGCACGGTGACGATGCTGCTGATCTCGACCTTGACTCTGACTGTCTCTGTGTCTATGCTGATCCTGGTCTCGACTACGACTGCACTTTCTATCCCTGCTTCTACTATGGCTCCGACTCCCCTTCTTCAGCCCTGAAAGCTGCCAGGCATCTGAAGAGGCCGTTTTCCCCCCAAAGCCAAGTAAAACCTGGTGTTTCCAAATCAGGGGTCCTCTTGCTTGCTTATCTCCCTGATGGTGCTGCTTCCACTGTCCCATTGCCACTGTGGCTGGTGCTGCTGGTGGTATTGCTGGGATAATCCTGACTTCTTTCCTTTGTTGCTCATCCTCTTCTTTTCTATAGGGAGCTTCCAGCATGACCTCAATCACTACATCAAAGTCATCAGATGCCATTCTGTCAGATCAGTTCTGGGTCTCTGCAGGGATGTCCCGGTTCTCTCTGTTCCTTTGGGTATGTTGTGGGGAGTGAAGCTCAGATATATCCTAGAGCCTAGGCAAGAAAAGCAGCAATGCAGGTAGAGCTACTCCTCTTCCCGCAAAATCGTGGCAACTCCATCGTCTTCCAGCAGGTAGTTTCGTGGTCCATTCAGGCAACTGTGACAAAAATACTGTGGACCAGGGAGCTTTAATAACACATATTTCTCATAGTTCTGGAGGCCAGGCAGTCCAACCCTTGCCTGCTGAGGGCATGCTTCCTTGTCCACAGATGGTCATCTTCTTACTGGTTGCACAAGTGCTCTTGGGACTGTACTTGCAAGTAGGTCTGAAACGTTTCAGAATGAAAATGTGGGAAAAGGGGAGAAATAATAATCACAAGAACTAAGATTTTCTGCACATAAGATTTAAATAAAATTGAAAGGTTACATTAAAACCCTGTAATAATATGTGTGTGTGTGTGTGTGTGTCTGTATGCATATATATGTATGTATATGTGTATTTGTGCATATTTTTTTGAGGCCGAGCCTTGATCTGTCACCCAGGCTGGAGTGCAGCAGCATGATCTCAGTTCACTGCAACCCCTGCCTCCTGGCTTCAAGCAATTCTCCTGCCTCAGCCTCCCCAGTAGCTGGAATTGCAGGTGCATGGCACCATGCCTGGCTAATTTTTATATTTTTAGTAGAGATGGAGTTTCACCATGCTGGCCTGGCTGGTCTCAAACTTCTGACCTCAGGTGATCTGCCCGCCTTGGCCTCCCAGAGTGCTGAAATCACAGCCATGAGCCACTGCACCTGGCCTAAAACCCTGTAATCTTACTTTGAATTGCAACTATCACTATAACATTATGACTTTTTCCCCCTCTTAATAAAAAATGTTTATTTCTTAACCTTTGCCCTTGAAAATTCAGTAACCACACAATAACACTAAGCCCTCCAGCACTAATTCAATGATCCCCAAATGCTCAGTGCCACTGAAAAGGACCAGGACCACTTGGAGAAATGGCAGTCACAATAAGTATACAAGCATACATGTGCATGTGCCGCAATGAGCATATGTGTGCATGTGTCTTTGTAACAGAACAATTTATAATTCCTTGGGTATATACCCAGTAATGGAATTGCTGGGTCAAATGGTATTTCTATTTCTAGGTCCTTGAGGAATCGCCACGCTGTCTTCCACAATGGTTGAACTAATTTACACTCAGGGTGAACAACAGTTAAAGAAATGCCTTCTTTATAGAATTTCCCCAACTACTAAATGAAGAAGAGATGATAGAATACTAAAATCACCATATTGCAACCCTGAATGAAATTATAGTTCTAAAACAATCACCAATGGACAGTTGTAGAACCATCTGATGAAGAGCTTGTCGGGGAATGTGATAAGTGAGGGCTGAGGCTGTACCCAATCATCAATCTTACCCTCCCTAAAACTGAGACAACCAGACATTAATGGACTTCCTGTTGTGATGTCATAAGAATTTCACAGCACCACCCATGAAAAACTCTTGCCCAAAGAAATGGAACCTGAAACTAATTGAGTTTCTAGATCTAACTACCAGTTGATAGAAAATACAGGACTCTCAGAAACAAGCAAAACAAAAGCAGAGGAAGCAATGGGTCAAATCCAGAACATAACACATTCTACAGGAAAAATAACCTCATTTCTCAAAAAAAACAATGCCATGAGGAAAAAGAAGGAGTATGATTGCTGAAAAAGAGAGAAGAGAGACAAACAGCCAGCGAGTGGCCATGTTTGGCCCCTATAGTGAACAGTCTTCCTGGCCGTCTGCAGGGGCTCACACCTGTAATCTCAGCAATTTGGGAGGCCGAGGTGGGTGGATCACCTGAGGTCAGGAGTTTGAGACCAGCCTAGCCAACAAAGCAAAACCCCATCTCTACTGAAAAACATACAAAAAAAAAAAAAAATAGCCAGGTGTGGTGGCAGGCACCTGTAATCCCAGCTACTTGGGAGGCTGAGGCAGGAGAACTGTTTGAACCCAGGAGGCAGAGATTGCGGTGAGCCGAGGTCGTGCCATTGCACTCCAGCCTGGGCAACAGAGCCAGACTCTGTCTCAAAACAAAAACAGTGACAGTCTTCCTGTATCAATGGACCTTAATCACACTTTTATTAGTGACCAGGAGGAATTTAAACCGTAGATCTTCTGCCAGTGGTTGCCACGTGGGATTAGACGGCAGTCAATGGCTCAGCACATGGGTTGGCAAATATTTCTAAGGGGCCAAATAACAAATATTTTCAATTCTGTGAGTCATATCCCATCTGTCGCAAGTACTTAACTCTGCTGCTGCAGAGTGAAAGAATCCTTGCCTGACCCATAAGTAAATGGGAGTGGCTGTGTTTCAATAAAACTGTGTTCAGAAGAACAGGCAGCAAGCCAGGTCTGGCCAAGGGTCATCGTTTTCCAACCTCTGGTTTAGGGGATAGAACTGATTCTTTCCAGTGTTTAAAATGAGAACTTCCATGAAAATGGATATTTCTAGTAAACTCCCAATAAACATACACTTTTTCATGGCTGCTTTCTTCTGAAAATACATGAAGTATCCAAAATACTGAAAAATAATAGTAGTTTTTAAAATCATAATAACACAAAGGCTTGGGAGAAATACCTATTTCCCTGCCTTTATCTCATCTGTTAGATCACGACTGATGGTAATTTATGAACAAAAGCCACCTGAGGCTTTTTTATTTTTAGTCCCAAATCCTGGAAGAGAACAGGTTTTAAAAAAATGTAGTGAGCTGTCAGGGGAGTGCCCCTTTGCTGTGTTCTGCACCGTTCTGAAAGCTGATTCACTAACTTCTTGTACCATTCACATTTTCATCAAGGCTGTTTCACTCCACCAAAGCCTGAGAACCCACAGATAGCAGCAGACAAATATACTCTTGTCACGATCAGCCAAAATACAAAGCTGCTATAACACACATTGCGGAAAATGCTACTCTTCCAATCCAATCTACTGTTAGCTGTTTTTCCCAGCATGCGTCTCCAACCCTGGTGGGCACATACTCTTTCTTTCAGCATTGCACTCTGCCGTTGGGTATATGTCCTGCTGTTTCTGTACTACACACAGTGCCCCTCTGGCTTCATCTCATCCACTGTGGTCCCCTTTAAGGGCTCCACAATGCTTGCCCAGCCTATTCACCATGGGGGCAGCCTGGAGTTCTGGCTTCTCTCTTAGTTGCATCCATCTGGCTTTAGATTAAGGAGCCGCAGAAATCTCCCTACTAAGGGAAAAAATGGGGTGCTTTAAGATCCATGGAGTGGTGTTTTAGAATGGCCTTAAGAGATGCTGTGCACAGAAGGCAACCTAAGGAAAGGCTGCTGGGTCCTTCAGATCCTTGAGGAATGGAGAGGGGAAAGCTCCCATTTAGAGCAGTCCTTGCTCAACATGTCAAACCTGAATGCTGAGATCCAACCCAACTGCTTCCAACCGGCCCAGACAGAACAGTGACTCAGAATTCAGCGTGACTCCCTCTGACACTGCCTCGTCCACCTAAAGGAAATCTCCTTTCTGACAAATGAACTGTGTGGAATGTTTTGACCAAATGTATGCAGACTAAAGGCCCTGTTGCCGACGGGACAGGGTGCAGCCCTCCACGTCCGTTAGCATAATCTCGAAGTGCACACACCTACCATTCCTGACAAGTAAAACCTGATCTTCCCCCTCCATGAACCATAAAGGGACTTGATTCACTTGTTCCCTTGTTAACAGGCAAATACACTGGTGCCCACTGGCGATTACCCTGCTGGTCATTATCCACGGGACCTGGAAGGGGAGGAGGAGACACCCATAACAGGATGGGAGACAGGCTCTCCTCTAGAGGAAGGCCAGCTGGCTCTCTCCGGAGCTTACTCAGGTGCAGGAGGACCAGAGGTCTACCATGGGGCTAGGGCTGGGGACGGACCCCACCTCAGCCTCACCTTCCCTGGTTCTCCCCTGCCTCCCTTGCTGCCCTGTTGTGGCAAGCCAGGTCCCACTAACATAGGCTTCCATTACAACTGTCCCAGCACTGACTGAGTAGCTAGATTAAACATTAAAAGCTGATTGAGCCAGTGCCCTTATACAAAGGCTGGAAGGTAACAAAGAGCCCAGCAAAATTTTGCCTAGGCTTTTCCTAGGCCTTGAAGCATGACAAGACATAATGAAGAAATTCTTTTTTTTTTTTTGAGACGGAGTCTTGCTCTGTCACCCAGGCTTGAGTACAGTGGCATGATCTGGGCTCACTGGAACCTCCTCCTCCTGGGTTCAAGCGATTCTCCTGCCTCAGCTTCCCATATAGCTGGGACTACAGGTGCATGCCACCACGCCCAGCTAATTTTCTGTATTTTTAGTAGAGACAGCATTTCACCATGTTAGCCAGGATGGTCTCAATCTCCTGACCTCATGATCCGCCCACCTCAGCCTCCCAAAGTGCTGGGATTACAGGCGTGAGCCACCACTCCCAGCCAGAAATTCTTAACAGGACTTTTTTAGATTTAAACAAGTTTTACTGGGGATCTGAAGAAATCTCCCAGGCCTTCACAGCCAAGTTTGTTGGGGTCTAAAGGAACTCCTCAAACCTTTATGATTCTGCAGGAGACAAGATAAGGGTAATCACCCCAGCACCTAGACCCATTTAGATTAAGGAAACTTACTGAAGATCCCGAAGAAAGTCTTCAGGACTGAGACCTTAGTTATAGATTAAAAGGGGTTAATCACTAATGCCTTTAGACGAATGCACACTTATACATAGACACATAGCTTAGAAGGTATATAAGCTCTGGAAAACTTTATAATTTTGAGTTGGTCTGGTCATCATTTCCAGGCCTTCTCCCTACAACCGGTTACAGAAATAAAAAATCTCTTTCTCCCCAGTTCATCTGCATCTCGTTATTGGGCCACAGAAACAGCAGGCCGACCCTCAGTTTGGTCTAGAAACACTGTGACCTGGCAGACCCATTCCTTGAAGCATGGCCCACGACCAGGTGACCTGGACACACACCCAGGAAGAGCACTTTCTGCTAGGCTGGCCCCAGGAAGACAGGCCCCTTCCCCAGCCGGTCAGGGGTCTTGCTGTGTGTTTGATGATTGTAACTGACCACAGACCAGGCATGCAGAGAGGTGTCCTAACCTCTCCCGCCACCGCCCCCCACCCCGAGACTCACTCTACCCATAGAGACCAGACACCTACAGAAGGTAAGTAAAGGGCCTTGCTTAATTGAGTTTCTATTTTTGCTTGCGTTTCAGTTTTGTTTTGCTGTTTTCTAAAAACCAGGCTGACTAATCAACATGTGGGAACACTTGCTGAGATGATTGCTCCTGGGCTAAGACATGTCTGACCTGACTGGTCTTTTCCTGACAAGTCACAAAAACAGGACTCCAGAAAGGGACCCTAAAGATAGATCTTTCTGCTGCCCCCGCAGCCCCCAG